TTTATTAACTAGTTAACGTTAGAATTGAATTTGTCACCCATTCCGGCCCATAAAAAGTCTAAGAATAAACACATCTAATATTCGAAAGCAATGGGCATTGAGGCAAATCGCATGCCCAAATATACTTAATAACGAGTGTTGACTAAACGCATCTGATCAACGAAGCTCATAAAAATTCAAAGAAGATCTTTGGCTTGGTCAGCTCTAAGAAATTTTCGGAGAACTAGCTACGAACATGCCGAAGATACTTGAAACTAGTCCAATACGCGGAGTTGGAAAACAGAGCTGAATCAGGCTATAAATACAAGGTAGTTCAAGGAATTCAACATTTTTTCGTAGTAGAAAACTTAGCAGTACAATTAGCAGCTCTTTAAACTCATAATTATTCGATTAATAATTAATATAAGTCCACTTCACCATATTCATCTCGATTTATATCAGATTTCTAGATATTTTTTTACCCTAAATTTTTTTCCCTGAATTCACATATAATTTTTTAGTGCGGAATTAGTTTAAATATTATACTAAAATAATATTAGTTTTTTAAAATATAGTGTGTTTTTTTTTGAAACAAATAACTGCAATTCTGAATATCCAAAAAAAATTAAACAAAATAAATTAGAAAATTAAATATCCCACAAAAACAAAACTATCCAAAATTTAATATTTTATTAGAGATGACTTGGGAAGCAAGACATGTAGTTTGCGAACCAAGTGTTGTGGACATCAAAGCATGTCTATAAAGTGAAGCCCGAACCTAAAAATATTCTAGATCTCTACATTACTTCTTGTACAAACATATTTCTATTGTGTTTAGGAAAGTTTACATTATGTTGGTGTTAGCATTATTAATATTACCACTATATATGTATCTTATGATATCAATGAGAGACAACTCAATACAGTATATCCTATTCTATAAGATTTTGACATTTTGGATATCCGAATGGCACATGGCCCAGCCGTGCTAAACACATCTTAAATCACTTCGTTCGACTTGAAATCACCGTGAATATTTTTTACGTATTTAAACATAAGA